AAGTGGGTTTTAGCCACGAAACCTTGATGACCTAATAACTTTGATAGTCTCTAAGATGCCATAGGACTGCTCATTGTTTTTATAATATCTTGAGGGCATCCATATAGCAAGTGGTCTTGCTCCAGTTTCCTTGCTGAACTTTTAAATCCAGTGTGGACACTACTGTAAATCTGGTTAAAGATGAGGGTAAAACTAGGATTCGCTCTTGTTTTGTAAAACCTTGTTTGTCTGGCTTTAGCTTTTTGAAATCAAAGGTGGTTTGGATCATAGTGTTCTTTATCCAACCTTTCTATCACTTTGATCTGGGAGACAGGAGTGCCTGGGGAATAGGGAATCTAGATTATAGAATTGTGGGACTAGAAGGTACCTTGAGAGCAGTCAAGTGCTCTGCAATCATATATGCATGATTCTAACTTCCCAGATTTCACTTGAGGCTCTAGCTAGATCTAATGGCTACTTAGAGTTGTGTATCTGATTTATCCCCCACATAAGCAGACTGTATCATAGAAGGAAACCTCACTTGCCAAGGTATTTATGCATCTTGTCCAACCCCCACAACTGAGCTTGTGTGCATTAGTGGTGGATATATGTATTCCCTCCACCAGTGTCTTTTTTCCCCTCTTTGTAACCTGCAGGCCTCACCTAGCTTTTCTGGTAGGTTTTGGGTGTGGCCTGGAAGTCACGTGTTGTCTCTTTCACAAAAGTCTTCCTTCAGAACAAAAACAGGCTGCCTTGATACCTCTTGCACGGATGTATTTTGCAGGCTCGTAACGGTCATTGCCTGTGCATAAAAGCTTCCATTGCCTAACTGAGCTGTCTGCAGTAAGGGTGTGGGCAGGATGTGTATTTGTCCTAGATATTTTTGAATGCCCTATTTCAGCGGGAAACTTGATGTTTTGGAATTTGAAAAGCCCTCCAAATGTCCCCTGTGGCTTTGACATAATGCCACGTTTCAGAGGTTTGGATTATTGCCTCTAGTTATTTTTGCAACGAACACGGGCTTAAAAATAACCACGTGTACTTTTCCAGGCGGAATGACCTGTTTTTGTGAGCCAAGCACTTTGCCCAGCGATTGCTAGAATGAGACTGTGCAGTCAGAGCTTTACAGCAGAGCCATCTAATGCGGGTCTGGGGAAGAGAATATTAGCTCCTGTTAGATTTTGGAGCCCAAAGCTCTGGGAAAATGGATTGGCCTTTAGAAGCAGCTATGGTTATCTGTTATAATGAATATAGGCCTGCAGTAGTGTGTTTCTTATTGCTTCCTAGGGGTGTGACATGCCAGTTTGCTTGGAGTTGCAGACTTCAGCTACTGTGAGCATATTCCTGCAGTCTCCAAAGAGCAAACAGATCTGTCTGAAAACCTGAGGGAAAACCTGCCTCTGCTTCTAAATTTAGAAACAGTGGGGGCTGGCTGCTCTCTGAAGTGGATTTCAGTGAGCTAATTATCAGTTTAGATAAAGCAGGTCCCCTGCCTTGTCTAATAGATGAAAATATCTGCATTACAGATGGTCCTTTCCATTCATTATTCACTAAGGAGATTACATTTCTGTGTGTGAGAGCGCGCACTGTGGGAGGGAGGGGTACATGATTGAAAGAGACTGAGTGCATCCCTACTGCTGTTACTGCCATCTCACACTGTCAGGCTGTGGTTTTCCTGTGTGACCTCGACAGCACAGCATTCTGTACTTAAGCATGAAATAGCCCTTCGGAAACTGGCTGGGTAGGTTTTTAATTACCATGGAAGAGCACACATTTCCTTACCAGTTCTTCCAAGTGAAATTTGGGGATTCTTGTTTGGGCCAGTTGTTTTGGGTCCTGTTGAGAGATCTCACTTAGTGTTCTCCCTTGGGATTGGTGAAGGTCAGGTCTATAGCAGTGCTGCTATGTCACAAAAGGTGATCGGTAGCTAGATCTCTTCGCTTCCGAAGTTTAAAAAGCATCTCTTATACCACAGTCATCAAACTTCACAGCAGGCAGTTCTCCTGCCTTGTTGGCAGGAGGTATACTGCTGCAGTTAAGGGTAGAAGCTCGTAAATGGCTTGAGAATTCATCAGCAGGATTCAGAAACTGGCATTAAAAAAAGCATACGATTTCCACACTGCTTTTAAATAAATGCTGGTGGGTAACTGGTGAAGAAGCCCCTTCCTTGCTTCCATATTGAGAAATGTACCTACTAACTGGATGTAGGAAACTGTTTTATAAAACAGTTGAGTCACAGCCATGTTTAAACATGGCTATTTTTATAGAGGAGATGGAGGCCAAAATTACTACCCTTTTTTATGCCAGTTTGCCATTTCTGGAGCAGTTTTTACCCAAGCACTGGCTAAACATGGGCTACCTCTTGGAATATAAAAATAACCATGTTTGAATATGGTTATGTGGTCCTCTTGATTTATAATATGGCTACTTATTGGCTGGGTAGATGGGGAAGAAAACATTTTCATGTTTAACCCAGGAATGTGCCTTATCAGGGTTAAAACATGTTTCCTTGATTTGGTTAAAATACCTTTTTTCTGTTTGCACAGACAGGATGAATCTATAACACAGTTGGGGTCACAACTATTTTTATAAGTACCTGAAATCTAGTCACTAATTAAAAAAAAAAAAAAAAAAAAAAAAAGCAAGTATGTAGCACTATTTCTGATGCTATTCCAGCCCTAAATCCTCCAACTAAGTGATTGGCTTTATAGTATATGCCCCACACAGACAGGAGAAACTGTAATTGTGGGGAGACAAGTGAAACTAAATCAACACAGTGATGTCAAATGTACAAAGTAAACAGAAATAATTTGTTTTGCCCTCTAATACGTTTGTCAGTCATCTGAGATACTAGCTGTAACCATGGTAGATAAGATTTTCAGACAGAAGTTTTGAAGTCTTTCAGACAATTACATTGAAAGTGTACTTTCACTTGGTTTTGGCAGAGCCTAAAAAGTATATGTATTGAAGTGTGTTTGACTCATGCATTTATCAGTCCCTCTTGGTCTCACATGATTGTTTTAGCTTTTAAAAATGTTCAGGAGTTTGTCAGTTCCTCTTTCCATTTTATTCCAATCCCTAAAATGAAGTTTATTCTGCAGTAAAAGAGCATGGGTTTAAGATAGTTACTCTTCTGTTTAACAGAGCTGAATGACTATAAAATGTGTGTTTAAGCTTTGTGCTTAGAATGAGTATTTTAGCCTAGTGGTCAGAGACTGAAATTATGGATCCATTTGCATCTTCTGACCAGCTGCTTTCATTTAGAAAGCTTCTAATTTAGGTCCGTAAGAAACTTTTCATTCTCTTACCATGGAGTTTGATATTTAAACCTTGTTCCACATTCTTATTGCTGTTTGCTGTAAAATTTTGATAACTCCTGCCTTCTACAAATGGAAGGGATGGATTCCAGCATTGTTTTTGTTGCTGAGGCTATGTCTACACTTAGCTGTTCTTGCGCAAAAACCTACGGAGCGTCCACACCTCAAATGTGCTTTTGTGAAAGGAAGTTGGCAGTAAATTGGCAGAACAGAGTGCTTCTTCCAGTGTAGGTAAACTTCCTTCTATGAGGCATAACTCCTACAGCTGTTGCACAAAAAGGCAAGTGTGGATGCGTCACAGGGGTTTCTTGCGCAAAAAGAGCCTATCCGAAAAAGCACAGGTGTCCTGATGGCCATTCTGTAAATGGCCATCAGCGTTTTCTTGTGCAAGAGTATCCATGCAGTATGGACGCTCTCTTGCACAAAAGGTGTGGACGTGCTCTTGAACAAGAAGTTTCTGCACAAAAACTGTTGTGCAAAAGGCTTCTTGCGCAAGAAGCCTGCAGTGTAGATGTAGCCTGAGACTGTACACCACCTTCTGTAAAATTCACTGAAGTACTGATGTTAGGAATTTTTGTCGTGTCATCTCATCTGGTGGAGAGGACTACTCTATTGCCCTGTCTCTGCGGAATTTTCTAAACTGACAACATTAGTGAGCACCCTAATGTAGGCCATTGTTTTGATAACTCTGCGCAGAGCTATATAACCATGTTAAATAGTCTGATAAACCATCCAGTGCTCCCAACATTAACACCAAGGACAGCAGTGCCAGTGTTAGCAATTGCAGAATTCTTTTTTACAGATAGTACTTAGGGTAGACAAGGCACATGGTAGTCTTTCTCAGGAATAATGACTTAAATTTTGCATAATAGAGCAAAATGCATCGACTATTTGATTAGTCAGCCATTATTTAACATCCTTAGAGTATACTAGATATCTGTCATAACCAGCATCATTGAAATTTTTTTCTTAATTAACCAAGTGCAGCCATTTTAGTATTTGGAGTATTCTATATTGTAATTACTGAGAATACTGCAAATTAGTAATTTTTAGGTAATACTTCAAACATCAAGGGCAAGTCTATGCTAGAATTGCTGCATCAGTGCTGGTGTGCAGCTGTAGTACCTGTAGTACGTCTGGTAGAGATGCTCTGTGCTGACTGCAGTTGGAGCTGTGAACTCTCAGCATCCCTGAAAAATCCGATCTTTGGGGCCTGAGCGTTAGCCCCCAGCCACTGAGGAAACGGAAACTCGTGGACATGTTTGCATATTTCAGGCTGAGTCTTCTCTCCCCCTCCTGCTGCACCCCTATGATGGACAAAAAAGGGGAGTTGAGAAGATGATTCATTTAATGTATGTGATGCGCTTGGGTACCGCTGAGATGAGTCCAATGGAGAAACCAATGAATCAATAAAACCTTGTGTGGTGGTGCACAATTGGCATGGTAGGCAGTAAATAAGGCATGAGCCACACACTGAATGGTTATCCTTAGGAGTCAAAGGACAGCTGTGGCACGGGAGGCTTTGTTTTTGTTTTTGTTTTGTTTGAATGGAGTGGGGTAGTTGGCTCTGAGGCATTTCCTGAAGATTTCAGGTGGCCCTATTCATAACTAGCATTACAGAGGTAGTCTAGTAATGTGAACCTTGCCTTGTCCGGTGTACAAAGCTGCAAGACATTTACATTTTGTCTATTTTTTTTTTTATAGCTGGAGAGAGGTGATTTCCTCTCAGAAGAATGGAAAGAGAGAATTGCAAACACAAGGTACAGTAGAACAGTTGATTATAGCTTTATGAATTGGTAATATTTGTCAGTATATTCTAATGGGATAATGGGAATTGAGGATGGTCAGCTCATGATTCTTAATTTCCATAGCTAATATTTAAAGCTTATATATGAACTTTCAGACTAGTAATAGTATGGAGAGCCTGATAAGTGCCAGGCGGAATGGTTTTTCATGCATTCCCAGAAGTATTAATTGGAGTTCCCAGCATAAATTTCTCTTACTCAGCTGAAGATGGCCCCTTTTGTCTTAGCATTTCCTTTCTGTGTCAGTGACTCTCGCAAGCCGGCTTGAGTGACTGGCACTTCATATGCCTGGGAGAGCTGCTTACCTTGATAGTAAGGCTGAGCTAACTGAAATTGGCTATTCCATTATATATGATTCTCTTGGATAGTTGAATATTTATGCAAACTGAAGATCTGCATTTAGAGATGGAGTAGTTTTTTTACTACAGCATATTGCTGCTGAAGAGGGAAACACTCCTAAATTTTTGTGAAAGGTGACATGTTCATAGAGACATGTTAATAGATACTAATCAGGTACCATATGATAGAAAAGAAAAATACATTAATGCAAATGTACTTCTAGACTACCCCGTTGCTGGGAGGGATAGAAAATAGTTTATGAAGAGGCTTGTTGAGACTCTTTTCAGGGCTGTGGCAAGTTATGGATAGTTTCCAAGACCTCGTTTAAAAGCACACACAGAAGAGGCGTCTGCCAGGCTGGTTTTTGCATTACTATGTATCCCAGTTCAACTTCTTGGGCTGCCTTTTAATTTGTGGGCAGACTTGTCCCAGCCATGCAGTGTGGTATGGTTTTACTCATTAGGTGTTTGCATCTTACACATACATCCTTCTGTACCCCTTCCAATTCTCCTATGTCTTTAGAACCATTTTGAATATAGGCACTAGATGCACCTACAGATGTGAATGGTTAACCAGCTAATTGTCTGGGGCTGCTCTATCTGTGCTGCGATCTGCTGCAGGCCCCCTTCTAAGTGGCTAGCCAGTTAAACACAAAATTTAACCGGTCAACTGATTAAATGGGATTTTACACCCCTACCTTCAATCTGGCAGAACCAGACTGCTAGTGCTGGCTCCAGTGGAATCTGCTCTCCTCCTCTGGCCCTGGGCGGGGTGGAGGCTGCGTATGCTGCTTCGGCTGGCCACTGTCACTTGGCAGTATTCACAGTGCAATGGAGTGATTGTCTGCCAAGGGGTCACAGCACATCACTTCAGCAGCACAAACACTGCAGTGAGGTTGTGAGCAGATCATACGATGACTGGTTCATGTGCCCACTTCCACATTGACTCCAAGGACAGGATGAGAGCCGCCCCTGAGCAAGGAAGGCAGTGGTAGCGCTGACTCAAGTTCAGGGTGGACCAGATCAGATCTCATGCTGTGGATTGTTTGCTATTCCACGTAAAGACAGTGGTAGATCAGTGGCAGTAAAGGATTTCTGTGTTAGTTTGGTTCATATGTAGTTGGTTGCCTTCCTGTCCCATGACCTTCTCCTCCCTCCCACAAAAGATCATAAAGCAAAAGGTTTTTCATTCTCAAGCCGTAGTCATTTGAATTTGCTTTTGTGAATACAAATTGATCAACATCTGCTCTTATTTTTGATTGATCAATGGATATTTTGACGCAGCTCAATTTCCTAATAAAGTGAAATTTCCCCTTTCATTTTCGGTTGTAAGCAGAGGCAGCATCCTAGCTGATGGCCTTTTTTTTCCCTTGGATTTTTAAGAGCACTTCTAGCGACTTCATTTGGTTAAAGGTTTTTATGACACCATCCCCAATCTGACAGAATAATTTACCTAATCTAAATTGTGCTTCTAAGAAAGCAGATAAGGCATTCCAAAGGTTCAAACTCTTAAAAATGCGTTTACTTTTGCACACCCATAATTATTGTTCATATTTCTTATCTCGCGACTGCTGATGCTTAAGCAAGATGTGTGGCATTTTATTATTCATACTGTCTGCACTTGTGGTTTTAGCAGTCTGCACTGAAAAGGCACTAAACCAAATAAGGGGGAAATCTAAGTTATTTTGGTCTCCAATGTGCATAGTAAATATTCCATCTAAACAAACATTTTAAAAATGATTTCAGATTACTTCATTTCTTTTCTTTCTCCCCTTAAAATTCTGGGGGCTTTTTTTTGCATAGGGGGTGAGAAGCAGGATAAAAGGCATGCACTTTTGGCTTTACTTGCCAGACAAGATTTCCCATATCTGTAAGAGTAGGGGTGGGCAGCACAAAGATCTTTTTTTTTTTTTTTATTCTCCCATAGGTGTTCTTAAAATTGTGGATTTTATATATAGCTCTGGCTATGTCTAGAAATGTATGTATCTGTTGTATGGAGGCATTAGAAGGAGAAAATACAACAAATTAGTTAACTTTGCAAAGAAATAAATCCTTACAAAATAGATGGCATTGTCTGGAAAAAGTATCTTGAAGAGCTTGATCCTGCAAGAGACTGAATAACTTCTGAGAGGTGTCAAGCATACTTATATCTCACTGAAGCCAGTAGAAGACATTTGGAAACTCACAATATCAGACCCAAAGTTAAATGATTTCAAAATTAACTGTGTAACATATATTCACCATTTGTAATATGTCCTGTTTCTTACTGCTTATGGCTGAAGGTCTTTTTTCCCCCCACTTCATGACACTTTTCACCTTTGCATTGTCATGTCTTCTTGTAATTTTCTCAATTTTTCAAGGCTTAAATATTTTTTAGGGTGATGAGATTTAATCCGTCAACCATGAAAGACACACATGTTTCAAGTGTAGGAGAGCCAAAGACAATCTGAGGACAGTAAGGCTACATCTGCACTACATGCTTTTTGTGCAAGAAGCCTTTTGCGCAAGTGTTTTTGCGCACACACTTCTTGTTCAAGAGCACATCCACACCTCAAAGCACATTGATGTGCTTTTGTGCAAGAGAACATCCACACTGCATGGATGCTTTTGCACAAGAAAGCTCTGATGGCCATTTGCAGAATGGCCATCAGATCACCTCTCTTTTTTCCCCATAGGAGTTTCTTGCGCAAGAAACTTCTCTGGAGCGTCCACACTTGCCTTTTTGTGCAAGAACTCTTGCGCTAAAGGGAGTTATGCCTCGTAAAAGGAGGTTTACCTACACCAGCAAAAGCCCTCTCTTCTGCTGTTTAACTGTTGATTTACTTGAGCAAAAGTGCATTTGTGGTGTGGATGCTCCACGGGGTTTTGCGCAAAAACCTTGCAGTGTAGAAGTAGCCTAAGATTTGTTGAGCGAGAGCTAGGAGAAAGATTGTCTACCCAAATGCCTTGGTATTAATCTTCTGAAAAGACCTGTTGTATTTCACCATCATTTATGGGATTAAGAGGGTGTTTGGTAAATAAATTCCTTGTGAATACTTCTTCAAATTACCAAAGTATAATAGGATTCAGTAGATATCTGTCAAGACGGGCTGTCAGCACTTCTTAAGTGTGATTTAACAAGTCCCATCAACATGTCAGCAGTAGCTAAGCTCATGTGCACCGTGAAAAGGCCACCAGACATTATGGAGGCATAGTGAACAAACTATAGTAAAACTCCCAATAGTCCTGCATTCAGTAGTTCACCATCAAAATGGCAAGAGCCTAGTGAGTGAGCTTCGTCAAAAAATGAGTCACAAGGTTAACAGCGGCAGCCGCTGAACTGAGCAAAAAGGGTAAAAAAGGCTTAAAAAAACTAAAACATTACAGTATACTGTATACAGTATGTACAGTAAAAAGGGTTAAGAATACTTTATATACAGTGTGTGTGTAATATATATATATATATATATATATATGTCAGGGGGGGGCATAAATAAATAAATAAATAAATAAAAACCAGTTTATAGTACCTCCCGATAGTCTGGCATATCTGATAATCCGGCACCACCTAGGTCCCATAGGTTCCGGATTATCGGAAGTCTACCATATTAATATTATGATGGTGAAACTTGCCAGTGTAGTTCTTAACTTATGAATTCATGGCACGGAAGCTGCTGATCTGATTAATGGAAGTATCATAATATGACACTTTTTTCACATGTACTTATTTACCAAAATGTTACGGTGAATGCTGACTCTAGCTTATTACTTTATGTAGCTTGCAAGTAGAAATGTTCTGTTGCTTGAGTAAAATAGTTATCCACCCTCTGGATACACTGTATTCTCTTGTTTCAGAACCGTGAACATCATTCATAGAAGGTAGTTGATTTCATAGAGGTAGCAGTGTGTATAAAATAAGATGCCATTTGTCTGTTCCTGTTTAATAACTAGACCATTATCTTGCAGTGTTATTTTTGTGAATAATTTTGCCTTTGGTCCTGAGGTGGATCACCAACTGAAGGAGCGATTTGCAAACATGAAGGAAGGTAACACATCGAACTTAAATTCTTTTCCGTTGGTTTTCTCTTTCCTGCGGGAGCTGCTGAATATTCTGCCGTTTTTTGCTGCACAGTAGTAGCTGTGAGTTGCTGTACGTGGATTCAGTGTTTACTAGCTGCTGCAGCATGCTGCCTGTTCCTGATTTGCTATCTCCAGCAGCCAGCTTCCAGTTTAAAAGTCTTTTGGAATCATAAGACGCCCCACAATGTCTATTGCATTCTTCTAAATGTTCCTGCTATATACATGTGCACATTGTTTCTGTGGCAGAAGGGTATTTCCATGGCAGCATTTTTCATAACATTTTTTGAATATTTAATCCTGAATGTGTTTTTCAGCTTTAAATACTCTATTTATATGCAAAGTTCTGTATTGAAACAACATGATGATTGTGCTTAAAAACCTGCACTAACACCCTAGATCAGTGCCTCTGAAACAAGAGTCCTCAGAGCCCTTTGCTGTACTTGATAGAAAAATTCATTGTGAACCAAACTGGGATGGGGTGATAGATCTTTGTCCTATGAATTTGCCCACATATTAGAAAAGATGGAGCAATCACGTCCCTCAATTAACATTGAAAGTCCTAAACCATTAATCTTTTAATCCTAACTTGCTATTCACACTTTACTCAATGTCACTGTCCAAACTGATGGGCTTCATTTTGTTTCATTTGGTTACTTTATCTACTAGTTATTATGTACTATACTACATGCTTGGGTTCAGGTGGGGTTATTAATGAGGAAACTGATCCTTCAGCATCAATCTGTGGTTCTGCAGTGGCGGTGATGACATTTTTATAGTTATCTAAAGCCAGGTTGGTAGATACCAGTTTACGAGGAACAGAATGGAATGGATGTGTGGACAGCTGCCACAGTGGCTACTAATTGGCAATTTTACCTCCTCTCAATAAGTAAAGCAAGGTCTAAATGGACTTGGAGCCTGGACTGCCTTTTCTGCCTACGAGTAGCTCTCCATGCAGGTCTTAAGGACACTGGTGGCCGGGGCGGTGAAAATTTGCAATGCCTCTGCTTTTGTTGTGATAAGGCTTGGATCTTCATGGGTTTGTAGACATTGCAAAAAGGGACCTGTGGCAGCAAGTCTGTCAGCTGACTGGGGCTTGTGCTGCAGGGCCGAAAGTAAGGTTGTATGGTGCAGTCATCCCCACTTTGGCTGGATCCTGGGCTCTGAGATCCATGGCCCCTCACTGGGTTCGGAGCCCAGGCTTCAGCTGGGGGCCATATAGCTACACTGCTTAGCTCCATAGTACAAGCCCCAGTGAGTTGACCTAGGCTGGTAGACTCAGTATCCTTGAGTGAGTGTGGCTGGTAGACTCAGTATCCGTGTATATGTGTGTGTGTGTGTGTGTGATCTTTAGTACAGACACAGCACAAGATCAATTCAACATGTTCAACTAGTACTAAATTAATTAGGTGAGTTGCAGTTAAGAGGCTTTGTGGCCTCCTGGATTAGGCATGGCTCTGGAAGCCAGCAGCTGCAGAGTTCAGTCACACTGTGCCACTGAGCAGTCATTCAGTCTGTCAGGCTGGCAGGGCGTCAAGCAGAAGGGGCCGAGCCAGGGTACTTCCCTGCTTCCTCACCCACAGATCATGAATGGTCTGGGGGTGGAGGATTGCCTTTGCCCCTCCCCTCAGGTTTCCCCTGGGCACCTATGCCCCTGGCGGTGGAAGGAGATTTTGTGTACACCCCCTTCTGTCCCCAGGCCAATCAGGGCTTGTGGGTGGAGGAGCACACGAAGCCTCCTCCCACCCTGCCAGGAGCACGTGGTGCCTCTAAGCACTGCACGCTCCTTGCAAGGCAGGGGTAGAGAAGAGGAAACTTGGTACACTTCCCCCCCCCATACCCAGGCCCTAACTGATCTGGGTGGGGGGTGGGGGGGGGTGGAGCAGCAGGGCCTCCATGGGTTGGATCAAGCCACTCGGGGGGCCGGATCCGGCCCGTGGAGTCCCTTTTGCCCACCCCGGTCTAGGGGCTCCTTACCATCTGAAAACCAGGTAATCTAATTGCATGTTTTAATATAAATTGCGTATTGTATTGTTCTCAGTGGATCACCTTTCACTAGTCAGAACTGAATGCTAATGAAGGATTGTGAGAACTTAAGTAATGAAAAAAATGGGAGGGCAGTGCAATTTTAAAATCATGCTTGTAAAAATTATTTACTCATCAAAGGCTTGCTCTGGAATATATGGCAATGCCCTGGAGCACTTCACAGTGGAAGCAAATGAACAACAAGTTTGCTTTGTGAAAGAGGCGTCTCAGCCAGGTTTGGATGAAAATGAAGAGAACCCCTGAAGGGCAGGGAAGGCAAAGGGGTGTAACAGACTTCTTTAGAGAGCAGATTGACAGTTTAATCTGTAGAAAGTGTGCTAGGACTGTTTTAAATATAATTTTTTACTTCCAGTATTCTTAACCATCACTTGAATCTCTGATCATTTGGGGGGAGGGCAGTCTTGTTTTCACGATAAATGTATCTAAGATGTGGTGTGAAGCAAAGTGGTGATCCTGAGTTGATCCTACAAGCTGTTTGGGACCAGTACACTTGGTCATTCAATGAGCACGCAGCCAGGAGGGGCTGGACATCACAGGGAACTCCCAGGATTCAGGGCTTCCCTTCACTAGCTTGTGCAGAGGGAGTGAGGCCTACAAAGTAGTGCTTGTGCGCCACAGGCTGGCGGTTTCAGACTAGACCCCTGGCAGGCACAGATAAGACTGCTTCATCCTAAGGGCAGGTGAGGTACCTCAGAACCCTGGACTCCACTGGGGAATGTCAGAGTTGAAATAAGTGCCTTGCTGAAGGTCTTAGGAACACAGGACCATAAAGTATCTCCTGGGTCAATAAGTCCAGTCCCCAAACACCAGAATTAGAGTTGGGAAGAGAAGCCAGGTCTCCTGATTCCCAGTCCAGTACCCAGCCACTGGAGTAGGATGCTTCCATGTCTCATGCCTCCAACTAAATACAAATTAAATGCCCGACTCTGAAGTAAAGCTAGAGATTCAAACATACGGCAACTCTCCTGGCTTTGCTAGAACGTTATGGAATTTACTTATTTTGTTTATGCCTGGGCTTGGCCTCACAGGGAATAATCCTGTGTGAGTAGCACTCCCACAGCTACTTCAAACTGTGATAGCCCACTCTATACATCTGCCTTGCAAGAGTGGTTAAATCACTATTTCTGTAATATCTGTCACAACTAAAACTGTCACATGTCCAAAGGACTGAAGGGGTGGAACAAACATAGTGAACTAAAAATAACCCAGCCACGTAAAAGATCATCATGGCATTCTTAGAGATTTCCAACTGCTAGCTTTTATGGCTCAGCTTCTTATGAAAAAAAGATCTGAGTATTAAATGGTAACACTCTCCAAGTTTGAATATTATCTAATACATACTCCACACCAATGTTCCCTCTAATTTTTCCCACCCCAGAGCAGAATGAATTTTGTTATGTGCACCAATATGGAGGTGATGCGTGACACGTCACCTCCACACTAGTGCACACAACAAAATGCCCATGGCAGGGGTGAAGTCAAGGGGTCCTGTGTGAGAGTGCAGGCTTGGGGTGCACGGGCTCTGGCTGGGAGTGCAGGCTCTGAGATGGGACTGGGGGTGAGGGGCTCAGGTCAAGGTGAGAGAGGTGAGGACTCCAGCTGGGGGTGCAGGCTATAGGGCTGAGGGGTTTGGCAGGAAGGAGGGTGCTCCACGGCTACTGCCAGGACTCCTCCAGCTCTCTCGCTCCCTCCCCCCTCACAGCAGCACCTGGGCTGAAGGAGTTGGGGGAGGGACCTCTCCCCGCCATGGCAGTTCCAGGACTGCGTTGGAGCCAGAGTTGGGTCACCCTAGAGCCCCTCCCTCCACCAGCCATGGCAGGTTGTAAAAGAGGCTGGGCTAAGTTGGGGTGGCCTAGGTCCCAGGATGGGTTCTTTGGGCATCTGCATGGCATAGGCAGCTGAGTGGCTGTACAGCTTACCAGGAACTTAGCTCCGCACCTACAGGACATAGGTAAATAAAACAAGAGACACTTAAAACATTTCTTAAGTGGTCCCTGGCAAAAAATTACAGACTTTAAGAACATCATTTTCTGTATATTAACGTGACTCCTTGCGTAACATTGTGCTTGCATTTTGCAGTGAAGTCTATGATTGGTGTGACATCAGCTTTTATTTGAGACCTCACATGACACACTTTTGTAGGCTAGAATGTAAATATCACACTCAAGATTCCTGTAACCCCTCAGCATGTCCCTTGCCATTAAGAGGTCTCTGTGGCTATATTTTCCCGACAACAAAATGGGAATAATTATTTTTAGAATATTTTGAGGTAGAGGTGCGTGTGTGCGCACGTGCTAGCAGTGATGGTTTTGGGGCTTTTTTTTTTTTAATATCTTAAACAAAAACTTCAAGCTTTTTGAAAGTGACTCAGTGGCGTTAATACAATTTCTCATAGTTGCTATTCAGATACTAAATGTAAAGCAGCATCTAGCCTTCTTTCTCCAGAGAATTTTGGTTAAAGAGTAGTGGTAACTGGCTCGCTTATGTCTTTTTTCCCAGGTGGCAGAATCGTGTCCTCAAAGCCTTTTGCACCTCTAAACTTTAGAATAAACAGTCGAAACTTGAGTGGTAAGATTCACTTCTCTCTGCAAAAAT